TTTTTCTCTCCCTTTCTCCCCCCCACCCTCCCCAAGACAGCACACAATCTGATATAGGCTTTACATTTACATACCCATGAAACATATTTTCACATGAGTGAAGTTGTAAGTAAAAATTAAAACCAATAGGATTTCCTCCACTAATATCACTGGTCAAAAAAAAAATGTGTAGCATATACCTTTCCTAATTTAGAAAATGTGTAAATCCTATAATTGGGAAGAGAAGGTAATGGCAAACCACTCCAGTATCTTCTCCAAGAAAACCCCAAATGGAGTCATAAAGAGCTGGACATGACAACAACAAGAATTGGCAGCTAGTATGGTGTAAGGACAAAATGAGGGACAAATTTGGAGTTCAAAGGACCTGAGCTTGAATCCCAGATCCAGTACTTAAGCTCTTGGCAACCTTCAATGAGCTATTTATTTCTCTGGGCCTCACTTTTTTTTTTATCTATAAAATGAGGAGATGGGCTAGGTGATATCTGAGATCCCTAAATCAATGATACTATTATAACATGATGTGGGTGTAGACATAGGGTTATCTTTCAATGAAAGGCTAGAAACAGTTCCAAAAAGTGCCATCACAGACAATATAATTACAAACAACATTAAGCCCATAGGCTTGTGTTATTATTAACTTTCTCTCTAGGTTCAAAGGTAGCCTATCTGGTAGGCTCTAGAATACACTCAGAAATCACTAATACTACAAAACTTTCCCTCTTTCTAATTAGCTGGCATCCTTAATTTTTACCCATTGGCTAGTTTCCTTCTCTTAGTCTTGAAACCCCAAACTCATAAGATTAGACTATTAATGACCACATAATTCAATAGCAGTATCAAATAGCCAAAAAAAAAATGCAATTAGAAGTTCAAACATTGTCCAAAAAAAGATGTTATAATATTATAATTTAGATTGAGTTGTCCTTTTCTCCCCATTCCTTCTCCCAGGCAATTTGAGAAGAACACAAAAGGAAAAATGATTGAGATTCAAACTGACGGAAATTTTCAAAGCATTATGCTCTTGGGAAAAAACCGGGTAGCCACCCCCACAAAAAAAAGTTCATTCCAGGCCAAGAGGCCAGAAAACCAGAAATATATGCCTGCACTCATGTCAATTCACCACATCTCTATGGTACCCCAACATCTCTATGATGTCAGGAGCAGGAAGTTTACCTAGTAACATACAATAGTCAGTCAGTCAGTCAGTATTTATTAAGTGCCTATAATATGCCAGGCACTGCACTAAGGGCTAGGGGTACAAAAGTTCCTGCCCTCAAGGAGCTCACAATCTAAAGGGAGAAATAACAACCAAATAAATATGGATAAATAAGATAAATAGGAAATGGGCACTAGAATGCAGAGAGGTTGGAAAAGCTTCCTGTAGAAAATAGGATTTTAGTTGGAACTTAAAGAAGCCAGAGAAGCCAAGAGGCAAAGACGAGGAAGGAAAGCATTCCAGGTACAGTGGACAGCAAGAAAAAGATCAGGACCCAAGATGTAGAGTGTCTTGTTCCAAGAATAGCAAGGAGGCCATTCCTTACATGAAGCCTTTCCTGATCTCCCTGCTCCAGCAGCTAATGTCCCCCTTCCCCTAAAAATCTAGCTTGCATTTATTTTGTTTGTATTCCTATCTACCTGTCCTGGCTTTTTATACATTACTCCAGCCAAACTAGACTTCATGGGATACTTCACACGTTGTACTCCATCTCCAATCCCTTTGCATTAGTTGCTCCTTACATCTGAAATTCACTTTTTTTTCTCCTCCATCTCTGAGAATATCCAGTTTCCTTCAAAGGTCTGCTCAAATGCTACCTACTCCCAGAGGCCTTTCCTGGTCCACATGGCTATCAGTGCCTCCCCTCCCCTGAAATTACCTTGTAGATAATAATGCGTATACATGTTGTCCCTCCCATAGCAAGTAAGTTCCTTGATGGATTTCTTTTGTAATCCTATGTATTTTATTTAAGTATTTAAAAACATTATTCTGAGAAGAGGTCCATAGACTTCACCAAACTGACAGAGGTTGCTGCTGCTTGTCCTTCATTCTCAAAGAAGACCATGACATCAGGGAGGTGATGCTATGACATGCAAGTCAACTGGATTTAAGTGACAGAGAGCTGTGCAAAGTCACCAGCTTTACCCTCTCCTCTGGAGCCATCTGGGTTCAGTGGCCAGATATGGATCAGGACTGCTGGAGATGGCCCCAGATGCAGGGGGACCTTGGCCTTTCCAAGCTAAGGTCTTTAAGAGGTCTCAGTTTGACTGAGGCAGCACCCATGCAGTGATTAAGGCTTAATAAAAAATGAGACTAGCCTTTAATAAATAAATAAAGAAAGAATAGCCTTTTTAAAAAAATACATCTGGGAGGGGAAGACTCTCAGGGTTTCTGGCCAAAACAGAAACAATTGTTATTTACATTCATTCTGAGCCAATCTGGGCCCAAACCGGGACCAAATAGGTCTTGGTCTGGGACTAGAGTGATTTGGAATTAAGGCAGGTCTTTAAGAGAAAAAAACCAAAACAACAACAACAAAAGTTTCAGTGATTAAAATTTACATTGCCTTTGGCTGCTAAGGGTGAGATACCCTATGTGGAGGGAGAAGAAAGAGAAGACACAAGGAAAGGAAGAAAGAAAGAAAGAAAGAAAGAAAGAAAGAAAGAAAGAAAGAAAGAAAGAAAGAAAGAAAGAAAGAAAGAAAGGAAGAAAGGAAGAAAGGAAGAAAGGAAGGAAGAAGGAAAGAAGGAAAGAAAGAAGGAAAGAAGAAAGAAGGAAGAAAGAAGGAAAGAAAGAAGAAAGAAAGAAAGAAAGAAAGAAAGAAAGAAAGAAAGAAAGAAAGAAGGAAGGAAGGAAGGAAGGAAGGAAGGAAGGAAGGAAGGAAGGAAGGAAAGAAAGAAAGAAAGAAAGAAAGAAAGAAAGAAAGAAAGAAAGAAAGAAAGAAAGAAAGAAAGAAAGAAAGAAAGAAAGAAAGGAAGAAAGGAAGGAAGAAGGAAAGAAGGAAAGAAAGAAGGAAAGAAAGAAAGAAAGAAGGAAAGAAAGAAGGAAAGAAAGAAAGAAAGAAAGAAAGAAAGAAAGAAAGAAAAGGAAGGAAGGAAGGAAGGAAGGAAGGAAGAGAAAGAAAGAAAGAAAGAAGAAGAAAGAAAGAAAGAAAGAAAGAAAGAAAGAAAGAAAGAAAGAAAGAAAGATAAGGAAGGGAAGGAGGGAGAGAAGAGAGGAAGGAAGGAAGGAAGGAAGGAAGGAAGGAAGGAAGGAAGGAAGGAAGGAAGGAAGGAAGGAAGGAAGGAAGGAAGGAAGGAAGGAAGGAAGAAAAAGAAAGAAGGAAAGAAGCTGTCTTACCCAACTGGAAATTCTCTACTCATTTTCTCCTCCATAGCCATCTGGGTCAGTTGCCAGATATGGATCAGGACAACTGGAGATGGCCCAGGATGCAGACCTTTCCAAGCTGCTTAAAAAGGCCAAAGGGGTCCAGGACACAAAAAGAGGTTACTCCAATCCTCTCACTTGAAGAGCCTGAGAAGATATTCCATCGTGGAAAATACCATGCACATATTACACCCCCTCCTCTCCAGTCTAACTAATGTAATTACAGCATATGGGGGGCAGCAGTCTGAGGCATTCACCTTTCAGACTTGGTGTTTACTGGTTGTAAGAGTGTGCCCCTTTTAGACCTTGAGTGATCCATTGGCATAGTTAAGAGTCAGGAAACTAGGCTGAAGATTATAGCCCATTTTTCCTTTTCTCTGTCCACTCAGTGAGTAGACAGAATGTTTAAAAACAGAAGTCAATCCTTTTAGCAATCTAGCTTAAGGAATTGAGACAGGCAGCTCTTGGGATTGCTTCTAAAAGTGTTCTGCAAGAGAGTAGAAGGGAACTTTTCTCTCTTCCCCACCGTGGGCGATGACTTCATGAAAGTGACAGCAAAATTCAGTCGAAAGTCCAGTGCCGCAGCTGCTGGGGACATCAACTGATCCCAAAGCTGGAGGGGTGATGACTACAGCCAAGTGGCAAAGGAACACACATCAGAGATGCCCCCAGTGCATCAGCATTCATCAGGGTCCAATGAAGCAGACTCCAGGGGAAACTGTGAACCCAAAGTCTGTGGAACAAGTGTGAATATCAATGCACTGCAACACAAATTACTTCTAACTGACATATGCCTCGGCTGATTGTATTCCCTACAAGTGTGCTTCAAGTGTGTAAACGCTGCATGTGTCCACTCTTGCCACTGATGCTCTGTGTAAAAGAGTATACACCAGATTTATGAGGAATATCTTTTACTGGTACTACTTTTTACTATGCCAAGCAGTCAATAAATATTTATTAAGTGCCTACTGTGTGCCAAGCACCGTTCTAAGCAATAGAAATAGAAAAAAAGAATACAAAACTCCATCCCTGCCCTCAGGGAGCTCACAGTCCAATGAGGGAGAAAACATACACATAACTATGGACAAACAAGACATATGCGGGATAAATTGGAAAAAAATCAACAGAAGGGAATGCATTAAAATTAAGGGGGATCAGAAAGGCTTCCTGTCAAAGGTGGGATTTTAGCTGGAACCCTCCACTCTGGAATGGACCTGGCTTGATCTGTGTTCATCCAAAGATGTATAACATACTTTGCAAACCCTAAAGCTCTATATGTTAACCATCATCAGTATTTACTCTTTTAGCAGCCTTTTATTGTAGTTTGGGAGCTCCTGGAATCCTCTGTGAGTAAAATTCCTTGCCCTATGTATGGATGTCAATGTTATTTTCCTAGGATTTACAGGCTACCCCCAATGGTGGCCTTAAGCCTGACTAGGGGAAATCCAGAACCCAGCCAGCGAGGGTGGGGCCCAGCCTGTCATGGGAGGAAGCGAGGTCCCAGGAGGTAAGCAAAATGACTAGCAAAGAAGGAAAGGCAGCTCTTCCTGCCACGGGATGAGAGGAGGCTGAGGGAGGAAAGGAAGTCTGGCAGGGAGAGAGAAACTGGAAGAGGTGCCTTCAATGCTTTTTTCCTGTTCCACCCAGTCTGCCTGTGCCTCTTTGCCCACTGTAATTTTGGTCCCGCACAAAAGCTTTTCATCTGTTCCCTTTCATTTGTATTTCCCTGGTCTCCGTTTGTTCTCTGTTTCTGTGTCTTTGTCTCAGTTTCAGATTCTGTCCCTGTCTGAGCCTCAGTTTCTCTTATCTATAAAATGAGGGGCCTGGATTAGATGGTCTCCAGATCTCTCTTTTCCAGATCTACCAGCAAGCATTCTATGACTCTGGGTGTGTGCGTCACTCTCCGTCTCTTTTTAATCCCTGTGTATCTATGTAGTGTCTCTCTCAGTCTCCCTCCCACTCTGAGTGGTGTGACTGGCCCTTTATCCCTAGCCAGTTAGACTGGAAAGGTGAGCAGGGCGGAGGAGGGAGGAGGCTGGAGGGCGGAGGGAAGGGAAATTGCTTCTGGTCGCCTCACTCTTATTCCCAGTCACCTTTGCCACCGCAGGCACCAGAGCCCACAGTTTCTGAGGCTAGGGTGCCAGGCGTGAACTTCTCCACCCCTCCTGTCCAACCGCGCAACTTCCCCTCTCCAAGGTCTCTGGAACTGAGCCAGGAGACACCCCAGAGCGGACAGATCCTCTCCCAGTCTGGTTCCACCTGGGCTCCCCTCCACCTCTCCAGGTAAAATGGGAAACGAGCTCCAGTCAGCTCTGCAGTGGGCTTACTACTCTGTTCAGGGGCAGGGAGGGACCAGAAAGGGAGCGCAGGGGATGACTCTAGGAGCACGGACCACTTAAGCTCTGCTATTTGGGGGCTTAATGGAGAAGGGAGGGGAGGGGAGGAAATAACCAGGTGGAGATTAAATACTCAGGATTGGGAATGGAAGGACCTGGGATGTGGGTTATGGGGTGAGGGTTTAAGTTTCGAGGATAAGGTGGCTCAGGATAAGAGTACAGGACAGAGGCCGCCCACAGTCAGCTAGCATGGTCTTGAAGAGAGTTGAGGACACCTTCTAGTACTATGGCATCCTGGGGACATGTGCCCCCCTCCCAACCCTCCCTACCCCCTGTCCACTTCAGGCTGTTGAAGGTTCCTGGGACCGAGTCTCCATCAGCTCTGTCCTGACACCTAGTGGACAATCCCCATACTCTCCACCCAGGTTGTAGGCTTAGTGCCGTTTTCAAAAACTAGCAAAGGAGCTAGCTTACATAGTTCCCTATGTTTCCCTTTCCAGATGAGTTAAAGTAAACGGGCAGCGTGGAGTTTGGACTTTGCTGGAATGCAAATGAAATTAACATAGATGCAATGAAGAGTGGGCCTCAGCCAAGGTTGGAACTAGTCCAACTTATTAGATACACTCTCAGAGAGATCTAACCAGAGACAGAAGAACAGAGAAAGTTAGAGACACAGGAACGGACAGAGAATGAGATTTGTTATTTCCCATGAACTGTTCCCCTTTCCTCTCTTCTGAGATGGAGAGGTTGGGAAAAAGAGGGGGTTTGAAGAAATACGGGGTGGAGCCAATTGAGAAACACCAAAGGCCCCCCTCTGACTCCAGACCCCCTTTCATTTTTTTTCTTTCATTCTCCTTTTTCCAGGAGTGAAGACTCCTATTGCACTTATATCACTGCCACCATGACGGGCCTCCCAACGCCCCCTCCCCCAAAAGGTAAGTTATATCCCATTGGAAGGGTAGCTAGGTGGCGCAGTGGATAGAGCACCGGCCCTGAATTCAGGAGGACCTGAGTTCAAATCCGGCCTCAGACACATAACACTTACTACCTGGGTGATCCTGGGCAAGTCACTTAACCCCATTGCCTAGCCAAAAAAAAAAAAAAAAGGAATTTTTTTTAAAAAAAAGTTATATCCCATTGGAGAGGAAACTCCCGTTCTTGGGGCTTCAGCCTAGACTAAGGAGAAACCCCCAGCACTGGACTCTGATTCAGACCTACCTGATTTACCAAGGGGCAGCTCTCAGGTTAGCTTTGGGCCCAGGCAACTGAAACACACTTCTAGAATCATGAAAACCAGCTAAAGGCAACTCTAAACTAAAGGAGGCCTTTGTGGACTGATGGCAGTAGCAAATTCTCACTTTCTTGGAGAAGGTTCTGTCCTGCCTCTCACCCTCACCTTCTGGTGACACCATTACCATTTTCAAAAACTCCATGCTCTTGAGAGGGAAATTTCCCTGCTAATATATTTAGGCCTAGTTTCTGCCCTCAAGTTTGCAGTGTTGTTAGGTAGATCAGGCTAATAAATGGGAAACATTTTTTTAAAAGTAATTTGTATTTTACTGATGCCTTTTGTTGTTATAGCACAGTTCATTTCCATACGTATCCCTCCCTCTTGTCCCACCCTGCAAACCATCCCTCTCAGTAAAGATTTAAAAAGAAAGAGGGTGGGGGAAATCATTTCAGCAAAACCAACCAACATATCTAAGAGCATATGCAATATTCCACCCTAATTGTCCTCCCCACCTCTGCAATGAAAAAAGGAAGGTACATCTCAACTGTTCTCTGGGGCCAGGCTTGGTCATTATAATAGCATTCAGCTATTTTTTTTCCCTTTCTTCCATATACAATATTGCAGTTCAAATGAGATAATATTTGTAAAGCCCTTAGCACCTACTATATACCTGGCACATAGTAGGTGCTTAATAAATGCTCATTCTCTTCTTCCCATTCCTCCTTCCCTTCATTGTATAAATTGCTTTCTTGGTTTCTGTTTGCTTCATTTTGCCTCAGTCTTTCTATGCTTCTCTGAATTTTTCATATTCATTTTTTTATGGTACAGTATATTTTATCATTTTCATGTACCACAATTTGTTTAGCTATCAGATTCATGTGCCCAATCAATGGGCACCTCCTTTGTTTTTAAATTCTTTGCTACCACAAAAAGTGCTGCCATGAATAGTTTGTTATGTACAGGACCTTTCTATCTTTGACCTCCTTAGGGTACGTGAATAGCATCAGTGGGAACTCTGTGTTAAAGGGTATAGGACAGTTCAGTCATTTTTTTTTTAGCATAACCCCAAATTGCTTTCCGGAATGGGCAGACCAGTTCACCGTTCCAACAAGAGTATGCCTGTCATCCATGAGACACAATTAAAGAGCAGTTGAAGACAGTACAGTTATGAGGTTAGGACTGTAAGTATAATAGTGGTGGAGAGAAGGGAGAAGTTAATGTCAGCTGAAATGCAAGAAAAAGCTTCCTAGAGGGAGGGGGTAGGACTTGGCTTGAGCCCTGAAGACTTTGTCTTGCTGTTAGGGGAGAGCATTCCTGCCTGAGATCATGGGATCAGAGATTAGAGATAGGAAGGACCTTAGAGATCATTGAATGAAAAACCTCATTTTTCACCAATTAGAAACTGAGACTGAACAAGGTTAAGTGACTTGCCCAGGGTCACACAAGGGGGAAAGAAACAAGCATTTATTAAGTGCCTACTATGTATCAGGCACTGTGCTAAGTGTCTAACAAATGCTATCTCATTTGCAATGATATTTTGAGATAATGCATAGGTGTTAAATGGCATAATCAACATTCCAACTCGGGTCCTCCTGCTGGAAATCCAGTACCCTTTAGCTAGTCATAGACTAAGAGCTGGAAGTATGTTGTGGGAAGGAGGAGGGGAATGGGTAGAGGACAATGGTAGACTAACCCCACTGGAGCCTAAGGGATTTGCATGGGGAATGAAGAGTGGGGAATAAAGCTGAATAGGCCTTGGAAGTCAAACAGATCAGTCTGACAAGTATCTATTTGATACAATAGTCAGTGGAGAGCTACTATTGTGTAGGGAATGTTAAAAAAAAAAATGTAGATTTGCCCAGACTTCAAAATGAAGAAATTAACAGACTGAGCCCTTTGAAAGCTCACTTTCTGAGATAAATCCATAACCACAGGCCTTCAATCCACACAAAATGCAGAAGAGAAAACAAGATTAAACCCAGTTTAGGAAGTGAAGGTTACAGGCAGGGCAAAGGATCAGTGCATGGAGGTGGTTCAACTTTCAGGTTTCAATCTAGCCACCAGAGAGGTTTCCTATTGGAGGTCCCTTTCAGGAGCTATTGAAAGGATAGGATCATCCACTTCCCAGGAATCTCATATGCCACCTAGGCTTTACCCACCCTCCTGGCTGGTTATCATCCCAATCTGTTTATGTCATGCTCTGCCCCATAGGTGGGTGCCTAATAATTCTGGGAGAAAATATAGGCAGCCCCCTAGCAGAAAAAGGGACCTAGAAGCCATCTGCCAGTGAGCCAGTATCAAGCCAAGAAGGTTAGCAAATCCAGTGGTAAAGGATCAGATGCCATGGTGATAAGAGCTTTAGCACAACTCAGGAATGGGACAGACAAAGAAACCCAACTGGTATCTGGGTTAACAACAAAAAGAGACAAATGAGTTAAAGTGCCCCACAAATTCATTTTGCTGCTGGTTAAAATCTAGCCTGGATTGGGATTGGGATGGTTCCCAAATGCTTTCATCAACCTCTCCTCATTTAAATTTTTTTCTAGTATAGCAGGACTTCCACACCCCAGAAAGAAAGAACATGATCTTTTTCATTTATTGGAACAAGGAGAAAGGAGGGGGAACTAGGTGGAAGAATTTGACCATGGGAAAAGTGATAAACTCCTAATCCAAGCTCACTATTATACTATGGCCAATCAGTTAGCATTCTGGCTAACAATCCAATCAGACAAACATTTATTAGGCACCTTCCTCGGGCTTGAACTTGCAGATACAAAAAAAAGAGAGAGATCCTGCTGTCAAGTAGGTTATATTATACCAAAGGTGAGGGGGTGGGATGGGAAATAGAACATCTAAACAGTAAGCATCACACCTTAATTTTAGGAAGAGGGAGAGACCATGAACTGCTATGGGGATCCAGAAAGGTTTCCAGTACATGAGCTGGGTCTAAAAGAAGTTAGAAATTCTAGGAGGAAAGGGGAAATGAACTGTAGGCATGAGGCTTCAAAGATAGGAGGTAGGAGATTGAGGACTGTGTTCAGGAAACCACAAAGAAGCCAGAAACTGCATGGAGGGGAGAAATGTGCAATAAGCCTACAAAGGTAGACAGGAGCTATATAGACAAAGGCTTTAAGTGTCTTGCTCAAAGGTTTGTATTGTATCCTAAAGGTAATGGGGAGCTACCAAAGATTCTTGAGCAGGAAAATGGCATGGTCAAACTTGTGTTTATTTTTGCCTCTTTTTGTATCCCTAGTGCTTAGTACAGGGCCTAGTATATAGTAGGTGTTTATAAATGTTTATCAATTGACCGACTGCTTTTAATTATCTTGTCCTAGAGGCAATTGGGAATAATGAGAATTGATTCCCTCATCACACTTATGACTGGGTCCCACTTTTTCATGGCTCTCTCTTTTGTCTAATCCAGATACTTTTTCCGTCTTTCACTTTGGAGCCTTTTCTTCTATAAGCTATAAGCTTATCTATGTGTCTCAAGTGTGGTGGTTCTGTTGTCCTTGATGGTAAATAAATAAAATTCTTACAAAAATCTTAGCAAATCTCTTCTGATTTTTTTTGTTTGGTTTTGGTTTTGATTTTGCTGTTTGTTGATCTTTTATTTTCATCTTTAAATGCCCTCAGGTTGACCTTGCTCCATTGGGTTTTTGACCAAGCTTTATTTGAACTGCACTCTGATCTTTTCCTAGGAAGGCCTCCTGCTTCCCTGCAGCCACAAGCACTAGTGGTCCTAGAGCTGTGACCGTCCCCTACTTTTCTACAGCCCCAACTGTTAGCTCTCCTCTCTGCCTTGGAACTGACTGCATACGGTCAATAGAGTTGCCAATCAGTGCCAGCACAGAGGTCTCCTGTGATCTCTTTCTGACCACCTTTCCAACCCCCTTACTGTTTCCAGGCTAAGAGTTCCTGAAGCTGCTGATGCTGCTGTTTCAGCCAGCCCACTGATGGCTGCCTCCACTTGTGCTCCAGGCCAATCCTTACCCCAGTATCACAGACCTCACCTGCTGACCTACTAAGTTGTCTTAGGCTGGAAAAATATCTCACCTCGACCTTTTGTTGGCTCTGCTGCTCCAAAATTTGATTTGAGGTGTTAAAGTTATTTGGAAAGGAATGTTGGAAGAGTTCAGTTAAGTTGCTGCCTCTACTCCACTATCTTGGCTCTCTTTCATTCTCTTCTTAAGATCATCAGCACAGAATTATTCCCAGACCTTGTCTAATTGAACTCTCTCCATAATCCTGGATGGTGATAGAATTCAGAAGGGACAAATCATTTACCCATATCTGACTGTAAGCAGTTTACCTTTGTTTAATCCTTTATCATTGTTCATCTGTGTTTACCACTTTATGTTTCTCTTTACTCCTGTGTTTGAGTTTCAGAGTTTCTCCATAGCTCTGATCTTTTTTTCCCATCAGGAATGCTTGCAATTCCCTTATTTCGTTAAAGTTTCATTTACCTCTCCTGTAGCATTATAATCAGTTCCGCTGGGTAAGTTATTCTTGGGTGAAAGCCCGTGTCCTTTTCCTTCTAGAATATCGCATTCCAGTTTTCCCATTCTTTCTTAGTGGTGGCTGCTGAATCATGCGTGATCCTGACTGTGGTTCTTTGGTACTTTAATTCTTTCATTCTGGCTGCTTGCAGTATTTTTTTCTTTGACCTGGAAGCTCTGGATTTTGGTTATAACGTTCCTCGGAATTTTCATTTTGGAGTTTCTTTCAGAAAGCTATTGGTGGATTCTGTTTATTTCCCTTTTCCCTCTGCTGCTAAAAGATCTGAACAGTTTTAAGATTTCTTGAAATAAAATATCTAGGCTCTTTTTTTGGTTATGGCATTCAGTTAGTCCAATGACTCTTAATTTTTTTTCTCCTCAATCTGTTTTCCAAGTTAATAGTTTTTGCCTGGCAGTAAGTTTTGTTATGTCTTGATGATCTAAAGAAAAGAATGGTAAGAGAGGGGAAGAGGAGTGTATTGGGTGGAGGGGGGGGGAGTAAGCTAACTTACATTTTCTCCTATTTTTTTCACCTTTTGACTTTAATGTTTCTTATTGCCTTATGGTGTCATTGCTTTGTGTCAAAATTCTAGAATGTCTTCATCTTTCTCCACTTTATGGATATCTGAGTGGTTAGAAGGAGAAAAGGAGATTGGGTAGGGGCAGTAGGGCCAGAGAGAAAGCTAATGAGGTCCTCTTCAATGATTCTTTTTTTTTTTTCCCTTTTGGTGAGGCAATTGAAGTTAATTGATTTGCCCAGAGTCACACAGCTAGTAAGGGTTAAGTGTCTGCGGCTGGATTTGTGTGTGTGTGTGTGTGTGTGTGTGTGTGTGTGTGTGTGTGTGTGTGTGTGTGTGCGCGCGCGTATACTAGCCTGCTTCTTGCTACTCCTAACTCCCCCTTCCTCCCCTCCACCCTCCCCAAGACGGCGCACAATCTGGTATAGGCTATACATTTACATACCCATTAAACATATTTTCACATTAGTGAAGTTGTAAGTCAAAATTAAAACCAATAGGAGGAACCATCAGAAAGATGAAACAAAACTCAACAGAAGGTAAAAATCAGTGAGAGCGATTGGACTTCCATAGTTCTTTCTTTGGATGTGGACAGCATTTTCCATCCTGAGGCCTCTGGAGATGTCTTAGATCCTTGCAATGCTGAGAAGGGTTCAGTTTAACATTCTTAGTCATTGCATAACGTGGCTGTTGTTGTGTACAAAGTCCTCTTGGTTCTGCTCACTTCCCTCAGCATCAGACCATAGAAGTCTTTCCAGTAAACCTTTCTTCTCTTAAAGGTGACATTTTAACAGAGCCCTTCTAAAGAAAATGCTCCCACCTATGCTGTGTACCTCTAAAAGTTTCAGGCTAGGAATGAGGGAAGGGCAAGGAGTCATTGTGATGTCATAGGATGTGAGAAAAGTTAGATTTTGGGGTGAGGGGTGAGATTAGTTGGGAAAAGGGACCTAAAATCCAAACTGAGAGTAAGGCATCAAGGTGCGCAAGAAGGGATGTAATACCAAAAGGTAAAGGACCTTGGGTAAATCATTTCACCTGTTTCTTCATCTGTTAAGTAACAGTTTATCGTTTGTATAGCACTTTATGATTAGAGCTGTAAAATGGGGATAATAATAGCAGCTACCTCCCAGGACTGTTGTGAAGATCAAATAATATTTCTAAAGCAATTAGCATTGTTCCTGGCACATAGTAGGCACTTAATTCATGTTTCCTTCCTTTCTTCTTGGAACTTTCCTTGCAACCCTGTGAAGTTATGTAAATACTGTCTCTTTTTTACAGAGTAAAATCTTTATAAAGGAAGATTGCTGCTCACAAGATATCTTGGGGTTTACAAGCTAGATTTCTTTTCTTAAGGATCATGCCTTAAATCCAAATCACTCCAACTCTCATTGATTGGCCAACTATAAATAGGTTCCAGGCTAAGCCCCACTTAGTCATTGTTTCGGCCTTGTTGGCTCACAGTAGCAATTGTTTCTCTTTTGGCCAGAAACCCTGAAGGTCTTCCTCTCCCAGATTGATTTAAAAAAAATTTTTTTTTCATTGACCAGGTAATAGAGGCCATTCTCTGGCTCATTTCTTACCTGGCCTTAATCACTGAATAGGTATTGCCTCAATGAAATGGAGATCTGTTAAAGAACTTAGCTTAAAAAGGCCAAGGTCTCCCACTGCATCCAGGGCCACCTCCAGTTATCCTAGTCTATATCTGGCCACTGGACCCAGATGGCTCCAGAGGAGAAAGTGAGGCTAATGACTTTGCATAGCCCAGCCTCACTTAAATCCAATTCACTTGCATGCCATGGCATCACCTTCCTGATGTCATGGTCCTCTTCGAGATTGAAAGACAAACAACAACAACCTGAAACTTTCCTTGCAAACCTATGAGGTTGTATAAATATTGTCCCATTTTACAGACTAGGAAATAGTGGCTGAGAGAGGTAATTTGACTTTCCTAGAATCAGGAGTCATATGAAAATTTTGTGAGTCTTACACTCCAGTGTTCATTCCACTTAATCAGGATCTACATCTCCAGAAAAGTGGGGATTCAGCTAAGTAATCCTTGAGCCTTTCCAGCCCTAGAGATTGGCCCTAGAGAAGAATTGAGAAAATGTGCTTCTCTTTTGGCAGAGGTGAAGGACTATGAGTATAAAATATTACGTATACTGTCAGACATAGTAAATATTTTGATTGGTTTTGTTGAACTGCCTCTCCCCCCCCCTTTTTTTTTTTAGGCAATTGGGGTTAAGTGACTTGTCCGGGGTCACACAGCTAGTAAGTGTCAAGTGTTTGGTCTGAGGCTGGATTTGGACTCAGGTCCTTCTGACTTCAGGGCCAGTGCTCTATACACTGTGGCACCTAGCTGCTCCCCGCCCCCCCTGCCTTCTTTTAAAATAATTGTTTCAAAGAATAGCTTGATGGGAAGGGGACAGGGAAGAAACAGATTCAGAAATGAAGGCAATGTAAAAATAAAAATCTTAACAAAACTAAGATTTTAAAAATCAGGATATGATGTGGAAGATGATTAGGAAGCTGTGACAATTTCCTCAGTAGTAGAGAGAAGGAAAGAAGGAATATAAACAGCATCTATTCATATGTTAACTGTATTTTCTTTGCCCCCTCTTCTGACTATGTCAGCAGAAGAACTGATGTCCACTCCACTCCTACAGGCCACTGAAACCCTGACTCCTACAGCTGTTGCCAACACTGCAGTCATTGCAGGTAAGGAAGCCACTGAGACCAAGGGCTCTTTCTTAGGTCAAAAAAAAAAAAAAGACTGCTGAGTGTTCACAACAGAGACCCAGGGGATATAGAGGAAAGCAGGTTCTGATGCCAGTAGCCAAATGCCCAGAGATGGTCCAGCCAATGGGAACCTGTGACCTTTTTCTCAACGCTACCGTAGTTACTGAGCAATGATTGGCAGGTTTCTGCACAGGGGTCGTTATGCAATCTTTCCCTCTCACACTTAGTTCAATATTTTGCGGTTAATAAACCCAATAGTGATCCTCTCAAAAGTTGGCTATATTGTTCTTCAAAGATGAAGAACTACCCACAGCCAAGCCCATGTAAATGCTAGTTATTATTATTATTCCCAAATGGAAATTATAGTTTGACTTGCTAATTTCATTGTCAGGAATATATCCTCAGGGTGTTACCAAAAAGAAAAAAATGCTATCTGTTCAAAGACATTTATAGCAACATTATTGCAGGAGGGGAAGAAAACCACAAGCAGTCTGAATATTTAGGAATAGGGGAGTGGTTACATAAATTGAGGCATACTAAAGGGAAATTATAATTAAAATTAGTGTGAGAAATTTAAAGAAATCGGGAAAGAAATAATTAAACAATGTACATTTGAAAAGTAGAACAGAGTACATCCTAATTATGATTGGGACTGAACTCATGGACCAGTTAGTCTGATAGAGACTTATAGATTATAACATTTTAATACATTGAAACTCATGTTTAAATGTAATAGCTGCAAAACAATTGTAATTATTACCATTAAATTCATGATAAATCACTTAAACTGGGGGGGGGGGATAAAATAATAGATTTGGAGGTAGGCAGGTAGACATATCAACCCCCAGGAGTTGTTGGGTTGACATTATGTCAGTGCGAACAAGTTACCCCGTGTGTTGCTGTTTTGTGAGCAAATCAGGGAGCAGGTGGAAGGAAGGCTAGGAGGGCTCAACAAAACTACTGCAGAAGATTAACTATGGCTTTGGAAAACCCTTCCTGTTGAGATAAACTGTTTCCTGTTTCCCTCCTTCCTGTCCTATTAGAGTCATCAGCAACTGGCTGGGACTTGCTTTTTAACTCATTCAGGGAAGAATATCCTTCTCTCGTGAACACAGGGATTAAGGCTGCAGTTTTCATGGAAATCAGGCAGTGAACATACAGGAAGGCAAGCTGTAGAACTAATAGACATTCTTTGTCGGGGATTTGGTAAGGTTTGCTTAGATTGATGCTGGCTTTCACGGGAGGAGGGAACGGGAGGAAGAGGAATTGATTTATAGGAAAAGAAAGGCGGAAGACAAAAGCAAAATTTGGGGAAAGGAGGGAAAATGGCAGGACCCATGCAGATTGGTTCTTCTATGAAATGACAGGTAAATAACCCTTCCAGAATCCTATGTATCCTCTCTTCTTTCTAAGTTGTTATCACAGTGGTCTTCATCACCCTGCTCTCAGTCCTGATCGTCATCATCATTTACCTGTACAAGAACAAAGGCAGCTATATCACCTATGAGCCCCCGGAAGGAGAAGCCAGTGAAACTCTGCAAATGGAGAATGACTCCGTCCAAGGGAAGAAGGACGAATATTTCATCTGATGACTCCCAGGTTCCCAAAGAACACCTCTGGCCTCTAAGTGCAAGACTGAGTGCTTAATTTATTAGGTGAAAGATGCATCGGAAGCCAGAGAAAAGTGGTGATAATGGGCATGTCTATGTTCTCTCCAGGTCAGGATCCAGGGACACTTCCGACCTGAGTGCCAGCAGCAGAGACCCGGGGGACAAAGGGAAGTAGAGAAAGCAGATTCTGGTGCCTTTAGCTAGACCTCTTTCATGGATCTTGATGTCATAGACCAAATGGTCTTTATAACTACACAGGGTAGGACTAACCCACTGGGCATATGGGCATTTACCCAGTAACTTCCTATACTCTTATTTGGTGGGGGAATAGTGATGGGAGTTGCCCAATCCCACTCCATACTCTGCCTCCTAGCTACATCACATAACTCATGAAGAATCCTAATCACTGGTCCCAAAAAGTTATTTGGCATCCTGAAAGCTAGTGCAGCCAACTTGGGGAAGCACATGGTGGTTGGTGGTGATGGTGGTAATAATTCAACACACTAGCTGACTTCACCTGCTGGTATCTGGGCCATACCCTTTCCTCAAGCTCCCTGCTTCCCAGCCCACTCTCTTATTCCCAATCCAATCTTGTATTTGTAACTTTTTTTTATCAGAATTAAAACTTTTCATTACATGAGATTTTGATTCTCATTTACAGGAGACAGAGAATAATAATCAGCACTAAATTATCCACATTTGGGATTTATCTGTCCCAAATCTGGACAGATCTGGAGTTTATATTCCTAGAGCAAGTAGGAGTATAAAATACATAAGCAGATAATCCAATATGTGCATATTTACTTAGCTATAAATTATCTACATGTAATACAGTACCAAATGTATATGCATATATTATAAAAATGACACTAAGAAAACATTAAAAAAGGATGAGATAAAAATGAAATAACATATGATACTAGAGTCAATAGGGAGCCACTGAAGGTTATTGGGGGGGGGGTTGAGTCGAGGGTAGACATGGTCTTTGTTAACTATTTGTGAATCATGGATTTGAAATAGGGGCGAGAGTGGAGGTAGGTACTTCTACCTAAACTAGAGGCAGTGGACTAGCTCCCATTGCTTACTCTAGCAAAAAAAAAAACCCTAAAAGTAGTAACAGATCAAATAATGATCAAGAAATTCAATGACAAATAACAGTAAGTGATTTCATCAAGCTAGAACTGGACAAAACATCAGAAATCCATGGCCAATAGGAAATGGGGACCACCAGAAGTACCAGGGCTAGCACAGGTAACCGAGATGCGTGACCCTAGAGACTGGCAGGGACATCTGTAGCCTGTAAGAGGCAACCAGAGAGAGGAAACCAGTCTCCGGGTGGTCAGAAACCCACACAGTGGACTTTGAGAGCAACTTGGAGCTTCAACATTCAGTCTAAGCAAGACAATATACAGACTTGGACACTATAGTCTCAGGAGCTCTGAGGTCCCTAGTACTCTGTCCTGAAATGCCAAAGAAGGTCCTGCAGAGCCATCACTCTGAACCTCAATGGTATGTGGGGAGCCTAAAACCTATCAGCACTCTTAGTTTAGATACCACCACCCCCACACCCCCACCACTGGAGATGGCAGTCAGCAGATCAATCCTGGCGCCCCAGGTAGAAACCAAGTAGGACTAACCATGCCCCACCCAAAAGCACAGGAGGAGGTAAGTCCTGGCCCTAATCTAGCACTTAGCACAAAGCCCCAAATTGGAACTAAGGCTAGATATCTAAGTGAACAGAAGAAGACATCAATCACTGTAAAGAACTATTTGATCCAGAAATACCCAAAAATCCAAATTAGAAGAGAGAGTAACTAAGCAACTGTTAAGTAGAGACTCAAAGGAAAAAAACTGATTCTTCAAAAGAAAGAAAGGAAGGAAGGGAGGGAGGAGGAATGCTCTGGAAGAAAAAAACTGGAAAACAATTTAATATCTTAAAACAGGAAGTGATAAAGTTTACCTTATTAAATAATAGACTTCCTCAAAATTAAAATAGACCAGATAGAAATCAATGCCTTTATGAGAGAAGAAACATTTGAATAAAATAAAATTAAAAATGGGGAAAAAATGGAAAGTATCACCTATCAAAAATAATTGACTTGGAAAATAGGCTGAAGAATAATTTAAGACTCCCTGAAAAGTGTGTGTATGTGTGTGTGTGTGTGTCTACCAAGACACTTTATTTCAAGAAATCATAAATGAAAACTGCCCTGATCTTTATAACGCTAGGGCAGAATGAAAATAGAAAGAATATATTCATTATTTCCTGAAAGACACCCCAAAAGAAAAAATCCGCATAATCTCAGGCTTCCATATCAGAGAGACTTGAAGCAAGGAGACAAATTTGTATGCTATTACAACAGTGCAAGCAAGACATGATGAGGGCCTGAACTGACTGATTAAGTAGAGAAAAGTGGACAGATGTGACAGATGTAAAGGAAATAATAAGAAGGTTCAACATTAGACACGTGGGATGAGGGACAGTGAGGAGTTGAAAAAAATTTTTTTAATTTTTAATTTTTATTTTCAGCTCTAAATTCTCTCTCTCCCCTGCCCATTGAGAAGGCAAGAAAACATTGTACAAATGAAGTCATGCAAAACATATTTCCATTTTAACCATGTTGTTTTTTTTTAAAAAAAAAAAAGCAAGAAAAATAAAGTGAAAAAATATGCTTCAGTCTGCACTCAGAGTTCATCAGTTCTCCTTCTGAAGGTGGATGACATTTTTCGTCATGAGTCCTCTGGAATTGTCATGGATCATTGTATTGATCAGAGTAGCTATGTCATTCACAGTTGATCATCATACAGTATTGCTGTTGCTGTGTAAATGTTCTTCTGGTTCTGCTCACTTCATTTTGTATTGGTTCACATAGGTCTTCCCAAGTTCTTCTAAAACCATCCTCTTCATCATTTCTTCTAGCACAATAGATTCCATCACAATCATATTTACAACTTGTTGAGCCATTCCCCAATTGATGGACATCCCCTCAATTTCTAATTCTTTGTCACTTCCAAAAGAGCTGTTTTTGTACATATGAATCCTTTTCCTTTTTCTTTGATCTCTTTGGGGTACAGACCTAGTATCAGTATTTCTGGGTCAAAGGGTATACAGTTTTACAGTCCTTTGGGCATAGTTCCAAATTTGGACCAGTTCATAACTCCACCAATAATGCATTAGTATCCCGATTCTTCCACATCCCCTCCAGCATTTGTCATTTTCTTTTTCTGTCATGTTAGCCAATCTGATAGGTGTGAGGGGAGTTGTTTTCATTTATCTTTTTCTCATTATTTAATTTAGAGTATTTTTTCATGTAATCATTGATATCTTTGATTTATTTTGAAAACTGCCCTCATCCTTTGACCATTTATCAATGGGGGAATGGCTCTTATTTTCATAAATTTTGCTTTTGAAAGAGACCTTTATCAGGGAAACTTGTGGAAAATTTTCCCCCCAGTTTCCTGCTTTCCTTCTAATTTTGGCTGCCTTGGCTCTGTTTGTGTCAAACCTTTTACATTCAATGTAATCAAAATTATCCATTTTACCTCCTCATTATCCTATCTCTTACTTATTCATAGATATGACAGGTGATAAAAGTCTAAATCATGTACCCATTTTGATCTTGTTTTGGTATATGGTGTGAGATGTTGATCTCTCTAGTTTCCACCAGCCTGCTTTCCAGGTTTCCTAGCAGTTTTTGTTGAATAGTGAGTTATTCCCCAAAATAGCTGGGATCTTTGGGTCTATCAAACAGTAGCTTACTAAGGTCACTTACTTCTATATATTGTATATCTAATTTCATTGATCAACCACTCTGTTTTTTATCCATTATCAGCTTGTTTTGATGATTACTGCTCTGTAATATAGTTTGAGATCTGGTACTGCTAGGCTGTCTTCCTTCACTTTATTGATTCTCTTGACATTCTTGACATTTTGTTTCCTGAGAAGAATTTTTTTCCTACCTCTGTAAAATAATTCGTGGGTAGTTTGATTGATATGGCACTGCATAAGTAAATTAATTTAGGTAATATTACCATTTTTATTATCTTGGTTTGGCCTACCCATGAACAATATTTCTCCAGTTAAATTTTTGTGCGAAAAATGTTTTATAATTGTGTTCATAAAATTCCTGTGTGTGGCTTAGCAGATAGATTCTCAAATGTTTTGTACTGACTGCAGTTATTTTAAATGGAATTTCTCTTTCTATTTCTTCCTGCTGGGTTTTGCTGACAATATCTAGAAATGCTGATGATTTATGTAGGTTTATTTTATATCTTACAACTTTGCTGAGGTTTCAACTTTTTTTAGCTGATTCTCTAGGGTTTTCTAAAGTATACTATCATATCATCTACAAAAAAATGATAGTTTTGTTTTTTATTTCATTATTTTTCATATCTTATCACTATAGCTAGCATTTCTAGTATGACACTAAGTAATAATGATGATGATATACATCCTTGCTTCACTCTCGATCTGAGGAGTTGAAAATAAAGTTGAGAACCTGGATGACTCTGCACAGTAACAGGAAAGTTTGGAAGGATGGATTTGGGGGAGAAGATAACATGGTGAGATCTGTGATCTGTCTGAATATACCTACTCATCCTATTCAACTCACTCTCTCTCACCCAAACTGAAAAGTAGGGAGGCAAGACTTACTGGTCACTGTGCTGGAGAGCAGAAATTACCCTCTGAGAACATCTGTCAAAATCATAACAAGATCTGGGAGGCAGAGTGTGAGAATGCTTAGCAGAGGGGGAGAGGAGGTGGAATTTTTTCTCCCCAATTGCACCTCCATGTCCCTGTAGCAATTAGATTATAACTGACAGGAAAGGCTGACTTCAGGCTGAGAGGGAAAAGGGCGTTGGGGAATTAGGGTAGGTATGGTTGTGTTGGTTTACAAAACAAAGTATAACTGGGGAGAGTAGGATGTAATCCATCTTCCCACCCTCAAGTTGATTAGTACCAGGCTATGACTCCCTCCGCCCCACACACACCCATTTGGGAGATCACTACTGTAAGGAAATACAGAATAGCCTAATTTGGCTAAAGCTGAGGTTCTTAACCTTTGTGTCACAGACATCTTTGTCAATCCCATAAAGCCTATAGACCCGTCCTCTGAAGGTTTTTATATAATTGAAGGAAATGCTTAATTAGAAGTTAGTGAAAATAAAAATGCAATTTCCCCTCTAACCAAATTCAAGAACACCTGGGAGACTGCATAAAATACATGGAGTCAAGGCTGGAAATTTAGGGTAGTGCCAGATTGTGGAGGCTCCCAGATGGATGGATAACGAATGGAAAAAAAAATTATACACAGTCCCCGCCTTCAAGGATCCGACATTCTAATGAGGGGAGATGTGCAGTTTCTAAGCTAGGCCAGAATCCTGGTAGCACAAGATAAATAGCATTAGGTAGTTCAAAGTTAACAAAAGATTTACTTAGCTATAATGGGAGAAGGATATGCATTGAGAATATGAGTTGATTCAGCTGAACAACATACCTCTGCCTTTAAATTGTCCATAATGGTCTGTAAGCCAAGCATCAAGACAGTACCTAGAGTCCTCATGGCTGTTTTGTATTCAGGGAAATAAGAAGTCAATAATCTGAACCACTAGTTCTCAGAGCCAGGATGGTTTGTTTCAACACTTCTTAAGGAAAAAGACAGCCTAACTTGCATGGGTTCGGGGTTAGGAAAATGCTCCACCACAGGGAGACAATATGTGTGGGTGTGTATGTGTGTGAAAGTGATAGCCAGTGGGTGTTTTAGTCTAGAATGTTATAGAGATGGTGAATGGATACATAGAATAGATTGGCGCATCATTTCCAAAAGCAATGACAGCTGACCTGACCATGGTACAAGAGCTGGAACACAACGCAGCAAATGAGATGGCTAAGGAGTGACGCATGGCTGGAACTGGGCCTTTCCTACTATAGTAGGGCACAAAGACAATCACCAGGCAGGACAGGGGGCCCCAGGGCAGGTTGATGGGGTCAGACCCTTTGGGACACGGTTTTGATGCAAGTGGCTAGGCAGATGACAAGAGTAAAATGAAACATGAATGCTAGGCAAAGGAGTTAGAACAGCAATCACTTGGGCAACAAGAAGATACTAAGGATTTTTAAGGAAAGGAATACTACAAACGCCAGATCTACACGTAAGGAGATTAGCATGAGATGAATGGGGTGGGTTAGGGGGAAGAAGAGGAAGGGCTGATGCAGGACAACCTGTTAAGAGGCTATGGCTAATAGTCCAGGCAGATTGTAATGAGAGCTTGTCTATACTAGAGGGGTGGCAATGGGAAGAGAAAATAAACTAGAATTGACAGGGGTTTTTTTAACTGCTTGGATTAATGATGCAGACTGAAAAGTTTAAAATGTCAAACTGTTTCCAACATCAGATATGGGATGAATGGTGACACCAGTGACAGAAACAGTGAAATCAGAAGGGATTTAAAGGAAAAGATAATGACTTTGGCATTGGACATACTGAGCTGCATCCAGGTAGAGCAGTCTTGCAAGTAGGTCTGGAGCTGAGCAGTCAGGACTAGAAAGAGATCCGGAGAATTATTTGCAGAGGCAATAGTTGATGCTGGGGAAGTAAAGGAGAATACGGAGGGACAAAACATGGAAAACTCAGAGCTCAGGGGAACACCCTGCTTATGGGATCAGGAAGAGGATGGAGAGATAGAAAAGGGAGTGGTCAAGTTAGGAAAACCAGGAAAACGGTCATCTCTGAAGGCAAGGTTGCAAGGAGGTTTTTAACAACCATCAGATGCTGCAGAGATATCAAGGATGCTAACTGGAAAAAAAAATGCCACAGCAGTATTTTGTTGGTTTCACAATTCCTAAAGATCCAGAAATTGCTCCGCATAATTTGATTCTGCCTTTGCTCTGGTTAGAATAAAATCCCCCAAGAACACAGCCTGAAAACTCCAGAGGGCGGGGAGGAGGCAGCGAGAGAAGGAAATGCAGGGAGAGAGAAACACTGACCATACCACCCTCTTTGCTCTAGTAGCTTCTGGACTTAGCCTAGAGAAGCTTCTGGAGGGTAGCTTTCCACATCTTCTTCTAACTGTCTTCAGCCCTACCACCCTGGTACTCAGGATTCATTTATTGAACCGGGCATCGGACCATGCATTGATTGTGGGGTATAATCCACATCTTGCCAGGCAGTAAAGAGTCTGGATGTTTTATATACCCTCCTTTTTCCTCCACAGGTCTTCCTTACTATAAAACTGGGTAAAACTGCCAATAAAACCTTGCTATATTGCAGGGGTTCTTAACCTTTCTGTGTGTCAGTGAAGCCTATGGATCCTTCTTTGAATAATGTTTTTTAAAGACATAAGAAACCAATTACACTGAAATTATTTTTTAAATGTTTTTAAGTCCATGGACCCCGAAATTGAGAATCCCTTTTTTTATTACCTTCAGATTCCTGTCTGAAACCACCAAAGATGCCAGCCACAAGGATTTAGGAATTAACCTGATGGCACTGTACTAGTCAGAGCCCTCATAAGGCTACAGAAGATAATTCAGAAGACATCTAGAAATGAGCTGGGTGAGAAATACTTGGAGTTAAGGTGTAATGCAACTTCATCACTTTATTCAAATCTTCAAAATATTCTTTATTCTACATTTTTAGTATAAAAAATCCACAAGTTAAGTGCACCACAGTGAAGAGAGAGACATACAACGCTGAACTTCCATAACAGTCAATGGTACAGTCAAACACCATATATACAGAATACAGTCAAATTTAGATGAACTGAAATTATAAGATAAAATATATTCATCAAATCCAATTCCAGAAAACAAAAATTAAAAGACTGAGGATCCCTGAATCTTTTCAACCCTAATGAGACTTCAGTTGAACTCATCTTAAAGTGACCCATTCACAATACAATCCCATTAACCCAGCTCCTGAGCAGTTAATTAATGGCCATGGTCAGCTAGCTGCCTCAGACATTTAAACAGGTGGCAACCAATTTCTGCTCTCAAAACTCCCCTTAATTGGACTGTGAAGTCATCCATCCCACTGTTGGAAACTGACCCCTTCCCCTTGCCTCTCTCATTTTAAATCTAGAGTTGACCAAAGCGCAGTTAGCATTGACATCAGGTGCTCAGATCATGTGTTTCTGGCACCAAAACAAATCTGGATGAGGCTTTTGTGTGCAGAGGCATCCATGAGAAGAGTACAAAAGGAATGGTCCATTCTCAGCCTTTGCTGAGGGGTAAGAATGGGGGTCTAAACTGTGAACACAAGGAGTTTCAGAGGATCCTTTTGAATAAAAGGTCAAAAGATAAGGAGAGCCAAGGTCTCCTCTCACACAAGAAGTAGGGAGAGGTGCAGGGAGAGAGAGAAAGAAGTCTGACTGGCTTTCTGTCCTGCACCATTGATTCAATGGAGATTGGCGAGGGAAGTGGGGGAAGGGGCAAAGGATGTGAAGGAAAAAGGCAGACATCTATGCATTTCATTTATAACAAGTAATAGAAATCAAAGACTTTAAGGAGATTTAAGACCAATCAGAAATAATTTGGCAACTTTAATTCTTCAGAAGATCAAAGTTCCCTCCAAACCTAATTTGATGGTTTATTACTATAAGCAAAGACCAGTATGGTGCAGTATTACTCCAAAGGAATTAAAGGAACATCTTCAGGGAAGATTTGCCCACATTCATTTTATGAATGGATCACCCCCCTCCCCCCACCTTGAAATGTTTTAGGGAGGTACTGCTACCATTACATGGTTCGTTATTAAGTTTTGAAAAGTGCCTGAAAGTTTGGGCACCAGAAAGACACCCCAACAACATGTGTCTAAACTTTGACTTCAGGTTAATATGACTAAAGCAGTTACATTGTGAGAAGTGCTGACGGTGTGTGATGTCTTTCCTGGCACGGGGGTGGCTTTGGTTCTTCACCAGATGGTATAGCCACCATCCGAACCACCCACGAAGAAGTTCCCCTTCCGCTGAGTTACTAGCACGTTGGCCCCTTGCATAACAGCAAGCTGAGCAGCATTGGGGGGGCAACCAGGGGGTGGAGGCTGGAAGTAAAGAACAAGGTTGAATGGGCACAGAGAAACTGGTGCAGGGAAAATGGGGCCCCAGGGGATATCGGAAGGAGGGCCTATCAGGAAGAATGGCAATTTGAGGACCAAAAGAATTTCACGGGGCTGGCCAATGTATTCCTCATTGGCACAGTCTGGAGAGAGAGCACACTACTCTCTTCCCTGACTACCGAAAGGCAGTAAAGAAGAACCCGTCAAAGAGGGATACTAATGCTCATTCAAAAGATGCCCCAGCTCCAGAGTGAGACACAGGGACCATTATGACTTGTGTATAGTTAAGACCCATTGGGTCCTCCACAATCTTGGAACTCTCCAAGGGCTGAGCTCCTCCTAAATCCTCTTTGGATGCTGCCTTTGCTCTAAGGTGAGCCTGTTCCAGAAAGTTAACTAGACATCATACCAGCGTCCTGTGAAATACTTTTCACTTTTACAAATAACAGTAACACCAGAACAAAATCCCTGGAGATTTTATCTAGGGGATCAGAATAATACTTTAAAGAGGACATCTTAAATACAGGCATATCCCACCCAATACTATTAACTGGCTCCAAGAAAACAGGAGATAACAATTCAATAAACTGGATAAACATCCAATTTTCATTTTAGGGAATAATTTACAAGGAGTTTTGTGATGTTACAGTCGTATTTGGTAATTATTTATTGATGCTTTGCAATAAGAATTATATTACTGCAAAACAGCGCTGGTCAGAGCAATGTTATTTGGAATATGATGGCAATATAACTTGTGCCCAAGAGGCAAATTCAATGTGGGGATCTTAAGTCCTGGCAGAACATCCACAGGGGGCAGCTATTGCTCTGGAACTCATCTGATGCCTTGGGGAAATCAAGGAAATTTTTCAACCACCTGGCTCTATAGCATAAGAACTTTCCTTTCTCAGAGACATCGATGCCTCTTGGGTAAGCACAAAGATGCTGACATGACCGTGGTTGTTACCATTAGTGGATAGTTACTTAGGAAGTTTGGCCAGCTCCAAATTTGCCTTCTTTAATGGGCACATGGGAAACAAACCCCCAGATAATCTGGAAACAAGTTAACCAAAAACGCCAACCTCCTGGAAACAACTTGAAGATAAAATGTATTCTATTTATTTCATATCACTTATAGTGATTGTTCAGAACTGTTGCTAGTAAGTCCTACTGAGTAAATACAAACTTTTGTTAAACCGGTTTAAATTGCTCCTTCTTTCACTCTTAGATGAGGCAAGAAATGGCCCCAAATCTGGGAATCAGGAGGACAGGGTAAAGGGGTCTAGGTTTAGAAAAAGAGGTTGCTAGCTACAATTAATTACCAAGCTACTGCTGCCAGAGGTTCACCTTGCACCTCCCCCCCTTGCTGCCTGCCTCACAGGTGAGTGTAAACTATCAACAATCACTGCCCAGGGATGTTGGAAGGATCCTGGGATTGGGGCCATAGATTTAGTTGTTACAGAGTCAGAGCTGCAAGAGGCTTAAAGGACATCTGGTCCAGCCGCCTCATTTTACAGATGAGGAAACTGAGGCCTAGCAACTTGTCCAAGGTCACACGGGTAATACTGAACATGAAAGAGAAGTTTGAGGTTAGCAACTCAGGACACTGGGGTGCCTAGAGCCAAACATGCAGCAGCAGGGAAGACCAAATGTTTTCTGGTCATACTCACAGGAATGTTACCAGCAGTAGCCCCAGCTCCAAACCTGGCACCAGGATCATATGCTCCATCCACCAGCACTGTTGAACCCGGGGGGTATACGTGACCAAGTGGGTAATAAGCCAGTGGAACTGCAGAGCCAACAGGCCCAACAGCCACGGACTGACCCATGGGAAGAAACAAAGAAGCACCAGGATATGCAGCTGACATAGTGGGAACTGTTGCAGTCCCTGGGTGCACAAAGTTTGGACGATAGAGCTAGAAAGGTGCAGAAGAAAAGACACAAAGTTTATTTCATGACGTTTTGATTTTAGATTTTAATAGTCAACGTTTAATTCTCCAGTAGAAATTACATCATTTATGAAGCCAGCAAATGTCTAATCCTATAGCCTCCCTCCCCCCCAACACTGAGCCTACTCTCAAGCCCCTCTCCCCAATTAGGGAGAGCCTAAGGAGAGAAAACCTTGCTGCTGATTTGTCACAGTCCTCATCATTGCCCTCCCCTTACACCTCCTGCCCTCACTGCCCCTCCCCAGGGCTTTAATTAGATAACGCATCCTCAACCCAACAGAAACGATTTTTTTCATCCATGCCACTGTTTCTGAAATTCTAATCCTCCATGAAGACAGGGCAATGGTGGCACATGATTGTGGCATGCTCCAACACCTAAGAACCTTGACCCTCTTACCTCAGAATAGGCTGGAGGCGCATCCGTGTATGGTGGAACCTGAGGGAGGTGCACGGTTTGAGGGTACACTGGGTTCCCAGGAGGCTGCACGGGATATGTGGGCTGTGTTGGATACTGCCCTAGAAGACACAAAAAGGCACTTGTGGTGCATCACGCATGGCCAGAGACAGAGACAGCACACTGCCCAAAGAATCAAATGGCTGTGTAGGCCCATAGCAGTGGGTTCTGATAAACAGCTTCAAAAGGGATGATGCAGTGGTTGTGGAACAATCAGAGAAAAGGTGAAGAAAAGATTCTGAAAGGCCCAGACAGGGAACTGTACCATCTAGTCTACAAGGAGAAGTAGAAAGCATGCCCAGTCAGTTCCAAGGAAAGCACCATATGAATAGGAACTCTTCTGATTATTCTTGGCTCTCTCTGAAGCTGGGGGACTTAGAAGTACCCATGAGGGTAGGGGATGGGACGGATTCATGTCAATTAGTAAGGAATCCCTGGCTCCAAGGTTGGCCTTATTATCATCCTAGTCAAACGTCTAGATTTGGAGGGGCTTCTTGCCTGGATCCAAAGGTCGAGAATGATCTTCAAGGTCAACTTCAGAAAGAAGAGATTTAGCAGATGCAGAGGCCACTGGATCACATATAGATTTAGAGACAGAAGTGGTCCAAACCCCTGATTTTACAGATGAGGAAAACTCAGCCCCAAGAACCTTAAATTACATGTCCAAAGTCACACAGCTAGTAAGTGGCAGAGCCAGGATTTGAATACAGATTCCGTAACTCCAGCACACTTTCCACTGCCCCTCATGGCATACTACCACATGAGAGGTCTTCCTCCACCAGGGAAGAATAGGATCTTGAAACACAATAGACCTTAAGGATCTAGGATCATCACCTTGTCTAGAGCACTAGACAAGGAGTCAGAAAGTTCTGAACTTGAATCCTGCCTGGGACACTTACTACCTGTGTAACCCTGGGTAGATCACTTAACCTCTCTGTGCCTCAGTTTCTTCATCTGTATAAAATGGGGATAATAACAGCATCCACATCACAGCGTTGTTTTTAAGGCCAAATAACAAATAACCATTGCAAGCCCCTGAAGGGTGGCAAAACACTTTACACGTATCATTTCATTTGATCCTTAAAACAAATCTGGGAGGTTCGGTGCTAATTACTTCTGTGTATTAGCCTGAAAGTGGTGAAGAAGGCACATCCCTCTTAATTTGTAAAAAGGGTTTGAGTCTAGTTCTGTTAAATGGGATGTAATCTTTACTTTAAAAAGCAAAACAAAAGAAAAAACTTCGCCACTATTTTACAGATGAGGAAACTGAGGCCCAGGTAAACTAATTTGTCACATAATGATGTTAACACATAAATGCTTTGCAATCCTTAAAACGCTATTTAAATGCCACCTATAATGATTATTATCGGCTGTTATTATGAACCAAATGATTAGAGGACACCTTGGACCCGAGAAGTTAAGTAACTCGCCCAAGGTCACACAGCTGGCTAAGGAACACACCCCGGACCTGAACCCCGAATCCAGGCTCTTTCCATTACCCAGCAGGGCCCAGAAGAAGAGCTTCCCAGACAATAGAACAATTCAGGGAGAGGGCAGGGAAGCGCCCTAACCCCGGGAGGGGGTTCGGGCTTGGGCTGGTCTGGTTTAATGGGCACATACACAGTTATCAAGAAAGGCAGAGGCAAGCAGCGAGGAGAGGAGTCCGAGACTCCGGCCCCAGAGCCCACCCCTCCCCTAAAGGCCCCGACCCTCCCCCTCTAGCACCCCCAGGCCGGAGGAGGAATGAGTGGGGGGCGCCCGTCACCAGGCAGCGCTCGGCCCCGCCCTCTCCAGCTTCTCATTGGCTGCGCCCCATCGGAGCCCTCGCTCCCCATTGGCCTCGTGGCCTGCCCATCCCGCCAAGGCCCCCCTGCAGCTCAGAACTGCGCCACAGGCTTTAAGGGAAAAAGCTCAGGGAGGGGGCGAGCGGCCGTGGCTCGGGGCCTCGACTGGGAGCGGGCGCGACGCGGGCCCGAAGCCGGGCCCCTCGGCGACGAAGGCGGACGGCCCCAGCGCAGGCCCACGGCTCCCCGGGACCCCCGGCCACCGCGCCCCCGTCCCTGCCCCGCCGGCTTCGCCCCCTGTCCGCTCTTGCCTTTGCTGTTCATGGCGGCGACGGGTCCGGTTCGGCTTGGGATTGCGGACGGTGTTTTTTTTCGTCCTCTTCCTGTTCCAAGTCACTTCCGTGTCATGTGACGCGCCGTCCTCCCAGAATCACGGGACGTCCTGGTGCCCCCACCCTCCCAGTCTCCCCAGCGCCGCCCCCGGAAGCCCCACCCCCGGGCGGTTCCTCCAGGGTCAGGACGGAACCGGGGGTGCCGGGCCTGGCTGGGCCAGACGCGCCCCGGCCCCGCCCTGTGATCCCAACCTCGCTATCTTCGTTTCCCTGCTGCGCCTTGGGCGACTGGGAAGCTGTGGCTGGATGGGCTTAGCCTCTCTCCAGCTCTTCAAGGGCATCCACCTCCGGGAGGTCTTCCCAGATTAGCTCAACACATGCTAAGACTAAAACGAAGGACCCTCGAGGGACTTTATACGACCCAATTCAGCCCCTGAAATACTCCCCACCCCCATTTCATAAATGAGGAAACAGAGGCCTTGGTGACTTTTCTAAAGGTCACAAAATGAGTTCGTTTTAGAAAGTTTTTTTTCTGGCTCATTGAAATGCGCTTCTAACCTCTATGTTCTCATAAAGTCAGTATACCATTTTTCTACTTTACCCTGGCTCTGCTTAAAGCCTTGCTTTTTACAAGAAGGCTTTCCCAGCCTTCCTTGGCCCTGGTGCCTGCCTTCTGAGATCACCCTCAATTTAGCATATAAATGTGTAGCTATAGGCCTATGTGATAAACACTCATAATTTGTTTGTTCATAGTTGTTTGTGGGTTCCTTTTTTTTATTTTTTTATTTTTGGTTAGGCAGTGGGGTTAAGTGACATGCCCAGGGTCACACAGCTAGTGAGTGTTATGTGTCTGAGGCTGCATTTGAACTCAGGTCCTCCTGAATCCAGGGATGGTGCTCTATCTACTGCGCCACCTAGCATGTTCTTTTCTTAAGGCATTTTTTTCCCTCATTGGCTTTTTGGACTGCTTTTGCCATTTGGGTTAGTCTATTTTTTAAGGTGTTATTTTTTTTCAGTATTTTTTTGGGTCTCTTTTACCAAGCTGTTGACTCATTTTTCATGATTTTCTTGCATTACTCTCATTTCTCTTCCCAATTTTCCTTCTACTTCTCTTACTTGATTTTCAAAATCCTTTTTGAGCTTTTCCATGGCCTGAGACCAATTCATTTTTTTTTTGGAGGCTTTGGGTGTAGGAGCTTTGGCTTCGTTGTCTTCTGGTTGTATGTTTACGTATATGTATATAAATTACTCTGTCACCAAAGTAAGATTCTATAGTCTGAGTTTTTTGCCTCTGTTTGCTCACGTTCCCAGCTAGTTCCTTGACTTTTTAACTCTTTGTTAAGGTAGGGGTCTGCTTCCAGTGTGGAGGGTGTACCGTCCCAAGCTTCAGGAGTTTTGTGCAACTGTTTTTCAGAGATACTTCTTAGGGCCCTGTAAGTTTTCAGTTCTTCCAAGGTGATATGATCAAAAGAGAGGTTTTTATTCCTTTCCTGGCCTGTGCTCTGGTCTGTGAGTGACCACAAGCACTCTTTTCTCCCTTGAATCTGTGAGGAGGATTTCTTCTGCATCACTGCAAGCTCCCCCAGAACTTCGACCCAAATCCAAGCATGGGCAAAGCAAGAGAATCCTGTCTTTGTGCCAGCAAAGATATCCCTGCAATCGCCCTCTGATCAGCCACTCAAACTACCCCACCATCTGTGGGCCAAGACCTCTGGAAGCAACCCCTACAGCTGTGGCCACTGCCCTGGGGCTGCACTAGGGCTAGGGCTGGACCAAGCTCCTCTCTCATGTAGGTCTGATAGACCTTTCCCACTGAACTCCTAAACTGTCTTTGGTATTTGTAGGTTGAGAAGTCTGGAACTAGTGATTCAGTCCCCTAAGGCCTGCTGCAGGTTCTCTGAGGCCCGGACTTTGCCTGCGCAGCCCATGCTGAACTGAGCTCCTCTCCCAGCCTGGCACAACACACTTTTCTTATGAACCATCCAGGTTGTCTTGGGCTGGAAACTTATTTCTTTTTATGGGTTCTGCTGCTCTAGAATTTGTTTAGTCATTTTTACAGGTATTTGGAGGGGCTTGGGGCAGAGCTCAAGCAAGTCACTGCTTTTACTCCACCATCTTGGCTGTTTGCGTGTTCTTTTGATGCAGTTTGGAGTTTCTGGGAACTCTGAAATGTCAGGGTACAGGGCTAGTCAGTCTGGAAAGAATTCAGGAACTCAAACCATCTTCCAGTGAAGGGGCAGCTTATTGTAATACCAATAGAAGCAGGTTAGATTCCTAACAAATTTGCGACTTAATGGGAGCAGACATATATTAAAAGGACAGTGAAAGGATCTGGATTGTATTAAGGAGTGGTAAATAGTCTGGGGTGGGCCAGGTGCAACCTTGAAAAGACATCAAGTAGGCTAATGAGAAGATGTAGGTGGGATTAAGGAGTGTTTCTATAATGCAAGTAGTCTGGGGTGGGCCAAAAGCAACAGTGAAAGGAATGTTTTTTGTCTCAGTACAATGCCTGAAACATTTTAGGAGTTTAATAAATTCTGGCTGACTGACCACCTGGTCAGGAGTCGTAACACTAGGGCCCCATGGCATGGCTAGTAATTGGCCTCCATGCTCTAAGGTTAATATAATTTAGAACTATGAGTCGCAAGTGGAAGACCCTTGTCACATGGGCTGGTTTTCTCCCCAAAGCAATGAAACAATTTTTGGTGCTTGTTTGCTCTGATGGACTAAGGCTTGAAGCTTTCACTTAACTTGCCTGTCATCTAAGGAATAAAAGTGTAGGACCTAAGCTGTTGCGGGTCCTTATGCATGACAAGACTCTCCACTGTCTCGTGACAATGCACCCTCCTGACGGGGTGCGCTCCTGTGGGAAAATGGGGAGCTGAGAAGAATTATGTCCAACTGAGCCAAGGCTGTATCCTTCATGAGTAGTATCCTTTCTATGCAATTATTGAGTAAATTTCTTTTGTTCATTGTTATATGGTCTACAAGTATTTCACTTTGTTCTGTTCCTGAGCCTGAACCACCAGGCCACCCAGGCCACAGGCAATCTGGCCTCCTTGTTGTCAGCCAAGCGTACCTACTCCCACATTCACGTGTTTACATAGGCCATCCCGCATTCCTAGAATGCATTTACTTCTCCCCTCTGCCTGTTCAAATCCTCAGCTTCCTTCAAGGCTCGGTTCAGTGCCATGTTAGATGTCCTTTTTTTTTTTCTGTATTCCCCTATGTTTGTTTTTTTTCTTCATTTTTGTTTTTTTTGTTTTGTTTTGTTTTTGCTAGGCAATGGGGTTAAGTGACTTGCCCAGGGTCACACAGCTAGCGTCAAGCATCAAATTGAACCCAGGTCCTCCTGACTTTGCCACCTAGCTGCCCCTGTATTCGCCTACTTTTAATACTCTACCCCTCCTCAAATTATTTTGTGTTTATCTGTGTACATGTCATATCCTTCCCTGAGCCTTGAGGAAGGATCTGGTTTTTTTTTGGTCTCTGTATCCCTAGCACCTCGCACAGTGCCTAGCACGTACTGTTGTTCATTCAGTCACGTCCAGCGCTTTCTGACCCCGTGGACAATGGCATGCCAGGCACTTCTGTCCTCCACTATCTCCCAGTCTGTCCAAGCTCACGTTCATTGCTTCTGTGACACCATCCATCCCATCCTCTGCCATCCCCTTTCCCTTTTTGCCTTTGATCTTTCCCAACATAAGGCTCTTTTCCAATAGTCTTGTCTTCTCATTATGTGTCCAAAGTATTTAAGCTTCAGCTTCAGTATTTGTCCTTCCAATGAGTAGTCCAAATAAATTTATTTAAGTATTGACTGATTTGATCATCTTGCTGTAGCTTAATCAAGCCTGTGGTCAGTTTTTTGAGGAAGAAATCCAAGCTATATGAAAAAATATATAATATAAAAATATATGAGCCATATGAAAAAATGCTCCTGGGGGCAGCTAGGTGGCACAGTGGATAGAGCTCTGGCCTTGGAGTCTGGAGGACCTGAGTTCAAATCCAGGCTCAGACACTTGACACTAGCTATGTAACCCTGAACAAGTCACTTAACCCTGATTGCCTCACCAAAAAGAAAAAGAAAAATATGACAAATGCTGGACCTGTGGGGAAACAGGTATGTTAACGTACTATTGGTAGAGTTCTGAACTAGTCCAGCCATTTTGGGGTTTTTTTTTGCTAGGCAGGGTCACACAGGTAGTGTCAAGTGTCTGTGGCCATATTTGTACTGAGATCCTCCTGACTCCAGGGCCAGTACTCTATCCATTGTGGCACCTACCTGCCTGTTGCTCCAGTCATTTTGGAAAGCAACTTAAAACTGTAATCCAAAAGCGACTAATTTATGCATTCCCTTTGACTCAGAGATAGTAGGGTTATACTCCAAAAGAAGTAGAAGAAAGAGAAAAACGACTTGTATGTATAAAAGTTTTTATAGCAGATCTTCTTGTGTTGGCAAAGAGCTAGAAAATTAAGGGAGTTCCCATCGACTGGAGAATGGCTAAACAAGTTATGGCATATAAATGTCGTGGAATACTATTGTGCCATAACAAATTATAAAGGGGACAATCTCAGAGAAACCTGGGAAGATTCCTATTAGCTGATATAGAGTGAAGTAGGCAGAACCAGAAGAACCATGTATACAGTAACAACAACATCATAAAGACAACTTAGAAAGAGTTAAAACCACTTCTCATTATAGTGACAAACCATGATCCTGCAAGACTCATGATGAAAAATGGTACCCACCTTCTGACGGAGGTTATAGATCCAGGGTACAGACTGAAACATGGCTTTTTTGCACAGGTCTGATGTGGGGATTTGTTTTGCTTTACTATATTTGTTACAAAGGTTTTCGTTTTTCTTTCCTTTTCAATAGGAAGAGGAGGAGCATTTATTAAATGTCTACATATGTTCCAGACACGGTGCTAAGTGCTGTTGATACAAGGAAAGGGCTAGGGGCAGCTAGGTGGCACAGTGGATAGAGCACTGGCCCTGAAGTCAGGAGGATCTGAGTTCAAATCCAGCCTCAGACCAACCACTTGCCATGTACCAGCTGTGTGACCTTGGGCAAGTCACTTAACCCCGATTACCTC